CCCTCCACACTCACTCTTCCTGTACTTGCTTGTAATCTGCTTTTGCTTCACACTTCAGCAGAAATTAATCAGATTATTGAAAAATCTCTAGAAATAAAACAAAGTACAGCAACAGCTTTGTTTTGAGAACTGAAAATCTTGTTCTTAAGTAAATCCAAACCATGACTGTTCCTTATCCATTTTACATGGACTCAGTTTTAACACACTTACCCTTGGAAATCAGCACCAACAACATTCCAGTGATTATTTCTTTCTTTTCCGTATTTCCAGTGCAGTTTCAAGGAATCATGTAAAATTTATATCCAGGGAAAAAGAAGCCCAATGCAAAGGGACTTAAAATAGAACAGCACGAAAACAGATCCTATCAAATCAGCAGCAAAACCGACTTTAAGCTTGCTGTTAAACAGGCTGAGATGGTTCTTTTCCCAGGAAAAGGTGGATGGTTAACTCCAAAGAGGCAGGAGAGGCACCAGCAGGAGCCTGGGGGTGCTGCCCCCCGCTCTGTGCCACAAGGACAGCACTGCCAGGCTCCAGCCTGGGCAGGAGGGGGGACAAAAACAAAAACCCCTTCCAGCAGCAGAAAAGCTGCAGTGAGCTCCAGTCCCTGTGCTTTCACAGCCTGACAGGAATGCTGCTGTGAAGGCTCCAGGACAGGCAGGATCAGGACCTTTCTGTGCCTGGCTTGGAGCAGCAGCTGCTGCAGCAGCAGGGACCTGCCAGGCACATCCCAGGGGACACGGCCTTGTCCTGCCCCAGCTGCTGCTCTGCCCCATGACAGGAGCTCAGCCAGCCCTGGCCTTGGCTCCAGCCCATCCCTCCCTTCCCTCAGAGCTGCTGGCTCCAGAGAATCCCCAGCTCCTTCGCCCTGACCACAGGGATGGCTCCTCCTCTCCTGCCCTGGGACAGACCCTGCTGAAGGGCACGGGGTGGGGGACAAAGACCGGGGTCAGGGGGGGAAAAGCCTTCCAAGGTCGAGCTCAGCCCTTCCCCAGCACTGCCAAGGCCACCAGGGACCATGTCCCCAAGTGCCACATCCTCAGGGCTGTTCAACACATGCTTGTGTCTGCTCAGGTGTGGGAAAGAAGAGGCTTCAGAGGGGAAGAGCTGAAGGCAAAATCTGGGATTATCCCCAGCCTCCTCTCCTTTCACTCCCCAGAGTGTCCCAGACACAGCTCCACAGCCACATCCTCATGCTCCATGACCTGGGGTCTCAGGCTTGGCTCCTTGGCCAGGATGAGGGAGGCCCTCGTGGTCTCAGAGAGGCACCATGGCAAAGCTGTCACCTCAGGGCACAGTCAGACCTCAGCAGTGCAGGGAAGGCAGGAGAAGGAAAATATTAAAGAATAAACTACAAGGGAGCTCCAAAGAAGAGGCTGGAGCTTGTCTAGGGAAGGGTCTGGAGCCCCAGGAGAGGCTGAGGGAGCTGGAAAGGGGCTCAGCCTGGAGAAAAGGAGGCTCAGGGGGGCCCTTGTGGCTCTGCACAACTCCCTGACAGGAGGGGACAGCCGAGGGGGTCGGGCTGTGCTCCAGGGAACAGGGACAGGAGGAGAGGGAACAGCCTCAGGCTGGGCCAGGGGAGGTCAGGGTGGACACTGGAGAAATTTCTTCACTGAATCGATGGTCAGGCCCTGGCACAGCTGCCAGGGAGGTGGTGGAGTCCTCATCCCTGGAGGGGTTCAAAATACGAGTGGATGTGGGGACAGGGTCAGTGGTGGCTTGGGCAGTGCTGGAGGAATGGTTGGACTCAGGACCCCGGAGGCTCTTCCAGCCTCAGTGATTGTGTGGCAGGAAGGAGGTGGCCTCTAACAACAACACATCAGTGTCTGCACACACAGACAGGAAAGTCCAGGAAGAGCCTGAGAGTGGCATTTGCACAGGCAAAAAGGAAATGGGGGAGAAAAGCAGCTCCAAAAGAGCAGCTCAAAGCCAGCCCCACTTCAGGCCAAGGCTGTGGCTGAGGCAGGAACTGAACATTCCCAGAGTCACTGCCCATGCAGGGCAGGAGCCCAGCCTGCCCCACCACACTGCCAGCTGCTCAGCAGTTTAAACCATCCCAGTTATTTACACACCCAGCCAAAGACTTGGATGCTTCCTCACAGATCTCTGTAGTTGGAAATCTCAGCCAGGAAAACAACTTCCCACTGAGATCTCCCAGGGGCCTGAAAGAATATTCCTCAAAATTGCTGTTTTGCTCAGCAATAGGGGATACAGGACAGGAGAATAAACTGTATTTTAAATAACCCAGTAGTACTGAAGGACTGCATGATCAGCCTGGAGGAGGGAAAGTTTTGGGATGACCCATTTGTGGCCTCCCATTACCTGAAGGATTCCACAGGAAGGATGGTGAGGGGCTTTGGACAAGGGCCTGGAGTGCCAGGACAGGGGGAATGGCTCCCCACTGCCAGAGGGCAGGGTGAGATGGGATATTGGGAAGGAATTGTTCCTGTGAAGCCAGCACAGACAGGAGCTCAGCCACAGCCTGGGAAGGGGTGACTGTATTTATGGGAATAGTGACACTGGTTATCCTGGGAAATAACAAACCAGCAATGCAACTTCCAGCAATGAAAGCAAAGATTAAGCTGCCATAAAAACATAATTACCTCGTTAAAAAACGCTCTTGCAGGCTGTGAAGCAAATGATTTATATTTTTCTTCTGGGTTTTGTCCAAATCATCTAAAAATAGATCTGAAAGCCCCACCAGGATTGCTGAAAATCCTGCCTAGTTCACAAGAAGCAGTGTAAACAAAGAGTCTGACATAAATTTCTCTTATTGATTAAGCAATGCTTGAAAACCCAGTGCTCTTGTAAAGCCTTAATTCAAGAGCTGGGCTCTAAATGAACAATTATGGGCTTTAAACATTTTTTTAAGTGTCCATTCTGGTAAACAGGTGAGCTTGAGCTGGGGCTGAGAGAACTCCTGCAGATGCTGGAGCAGAGCAGGGGAATGATAAAAATCCCAACAAAGGATTTTAGTCAAGTCCTGAGTGTCTGTGGATTCACAGTGCAAAGTGTGCTCCACCTGAGGAGCCTGCCCAGGGAATACCTGAAATTCCAAAACCTCAAATTACAGCATTCTTTTAGAGACCCAGTGTCCATGAAATGCCTTCAGATCCTGCTGCTTCCACAGCAAGCTGGACTCAGCCCAGAGAGAGATCGGAGTCCCCAGGATTGTTAAGCAAATTCCAGCCCTGAGCTAGAAGGACATAAAAGCAATGATGCAAACACACACACATTGTACAGCTCTGTAAACAGTTGTTTTCTATTATTTGTAATTATTACAGATCATTGACTCTCCAGTTCCAGGGCTCATCACCCCCAAACACTCCAGACCTGCTGGGTTTAGCACTAAGCTGGGTTTAGCACTGAGCACTTACAGAGATCGTTTGCACTGCATCTCTTTTGGTTCTTGCACCAAACAAGACTTTGTCCACCTTGTCCTTGTCTGTGTGAAAGTTCCTCTCTCTCCTTTTAGAAGCCCTCTTTGGGCTCTGGAAGGGGCTCTAAGGTCTCCCCAGAGGCTTCCCTTCTCCAGGTGAACATCCCCAGCTCTCCCAGCCTGGCTCCAGCCCTTGGAGCATCTCCATGGCCTCCCCAGACCTGCTCCAACAGGTTCACATCTTTCCTGGTGAATTCTATGAATTACCACGTTGGAATCAGCATTATATGAATTCCTGGGAATTCAGTGAAAGATGCCCCAGCAGCTTTGCAGCTTCAGAGGAGACTCTGAATTCCTGTGCTGCAGTTCCTGAATTCCTCCCATTGCCAAATCAAACAGCAGTTTCATCCAAGGAGAACACACAGGACCTGGCTTCCAAGTGCACAACCTGCAAGTCAACAACCTCCAGAGGGGTCACTGGAGCAGCCATGGAAACCAGGGATGGGCCACGTGGTCTGGGAGGTCACAGACAGCACTCAAAGCCACCAGCACCCAGCTCCCCATGGCCTGGAGGGGGTGGACAGGAAGAGGGCCAAGGCACCCATATCCTCATGGAACAAGGGAAGCAGCATTCTTTGGCATAAGCCTGTTTATTGCCCAAAGTCACCCTGGCAAAGGAAGTTTGGGGTCTCTGTGACCCAAAGGAGCTGAGCTGGGAACTGAGGGAGAAGCTGAGCAAGCACTGAAGGCACAGCCATGCCCTGGGCTCTGCTGCCAATTCCTGCTGCAGGATCCTGCATGTCCAAACTAAATCAGGTCTGGTCCCCTTGGAGCCAAGCACATGGGTGTCACCCTGGGGCAGGAGACCCTCCCCAAGCCACCCATCAGACACATGGCAATGAACAGCCCTGGGCACGCTGTCCGTGTGTCCATATGTCCACGTGTCCATATGTCCATGTGTCCATGTGTCCACGTGTCCATATGTCCATGTGTCCATATGTCCATGTGTCCGTGTGTCCCTGTGTCCATGTGTCCACGTGTCCATATGCCCATGTGTCCATATGTCCAAGTGTCCATGTGTCCACATGTCCATATGTCCAAGTGTCCATGTGTCCACATGTCCATATGTCTGTGTGTCCATATGTCCATGTGTCCGTGTGTCCATATGTCCACGTATCCATGTGTCCATATGTCCACGTGTCCATGTGTTCATATGTCCATGTGTCCGTGTGTCCATGTGTCCACATGTCCATATGTCCACGTGTCCATGTGTCCATATGTCCGTGTGTCCCTGTGTCCACATGTCCATATGTCCATGTGTCCGTGTGTCCATATGTCCATATGTCCACGTGTCCATGTGTTCATATGTCCATGTGTCCATGTGTCCGTGTGTCCATGTGTCCACGTGTCCATGTGTCCACATGTCCATATGTCCACGTGTCCATGTGTCCATATGTCCGTGTGTCCCTGTGTCCATATGTCCATGTGTCCGTGTGTCCATATGTCCATGTGTCCATATGTCCACGTGTCCATGTGTTCATATGTCCATGTGTCCGTGTGTCCATATGTCCATGTGTCCGTGTGTCCATGTGTCCATATGTCCATGTGTCCATGTGTCCATATGTCCACGTGTCCATGTGTTCATATGTCCATGTGTCCGTGTGTCCAGTGTAAGCCTGTGTCAGTGCAAGCCTGGGTCCAGCATTCCAGCCCTGCCATCCAAGCTCTCCTGCACACAGCCCATCACACCCACCCTTCAGGAAAGGATTTCTCCCCCTCCAAAGCAATGTCTTTCTGATTTTGCATTTCCCAAACCCAGGAGTGTGTTCCCACCATAACCACGTTCCCAGAAAATGTCTTTCCTTGCTTGCAGTGCTTCTGTCTCAGTTATGCACTTCCCATCCCAGATGAGCAAACACATCACTCCTACAGATGCTTTGTCAACTTGTCTTTCCTGAAATGTCAAATGCAAGATCCAAAGGAATGGATTCACTGAACCCAATAAATGTTTCTCAGCTAACTCCTTGTGTGAGAGCTGTTGGTGATGGGTCAGTGAGGACAGGAATCCAGAGTTAATGCATTTAGAACTCGAGTATCGTGCCCTGCCCAGGCCCAATCTGTGCCATTCAGCACAGTTAGCTCAGCTTTATGGGTTGAAATAAAACCTTGGTTGAAAGCAAAGTGCAGCCCCAAGTTTCCCTTGTTGCCACAAATAGAATTTTAGGGTTGTTCTTTCCTTCTGGAGAGTTCCCATAAAAGCACACACAGGTTCAGCCTCCTCAGGAGGCCTGTCCATGAAAACTGCTCTAGTTCACAACCAGAGAACAAAAATGTGACCAAATGTCCCCAAGGCCACAGAGACTGCTGGGGAAGCTGGGAGCTCCCAGAGCCAAGCCCAGGGAAGGGCACAGCCCTTGGCTGGTGGTTGGGTAATAAATAACCTGGAAGGGGAACAGAGACTGGTTTGAACCAAGCTCCCTAAAAGTAAAAGCCAAGACTGGCATCTCTCAGGCAGCTTCTAGAAGAGCTCAAGGCAAAGGAGAATGCTCTCTAAGAGAGGGGAAGAATTGTAAATGTTCCCTGAGTGTTCAGCAGCACAACAGCTGGGCAAGCTGGAGAATGTCTGCTGCCTGAGGAGGGAAGGGATGAGCGCAGCTGGAAGGGGAGGAATAGGAGGGCCCTGTTACTCCCACTGCCCAAGGCCATGGGAGGGGGCAGGGGTGCCCTGTCCCAACCTCGAGGTGGCACTGGGCACCCTCTGCAGCCAGGGCCAGGAGCAAACAGCACCAGGCCAGGCAGGAATGAGCAGAGGGGCTTCACCTGGGATCATGGACTGAGAGAACACGGATTCCACCCTCTACCTGTGCCTCCAGCTCCTGGGTGGCCACAAAACCCTCCCTTCCCCCAGCCTCACTCTGCCTCCCCAACACATCCAGGACAGCAGCAGCTGGAATAACACATCCCTTTGACTAGAGCTGTGTTATGAACACTTCCCCCCTTCTTTGCCTGCAAGCAAACCAGGAGGGACTCACACAGCCAGAGAAATGAGATTTCACTCCCTCAGCAGCCAAGCATCTTGCTGAAGCCTGGTTTGGATTGCTGTGAGGACACTGAGGGGACAGGATGGATTTCAGAAGCAATAACTCCCTATTAACATCATACCTGTGTCACACTCCTCAGGCTGCATTGCCAAAGGCTTTCACTACAAGTCTCATTAGCAATCCCATTAAAACAAGAACACAGCTGGTGAGAGCATTTACTGTGCAGAAGAGTCAAATTCTTCTAAATTTATAGTGGCAAAATTGATTACTGGTTCTAACATCTGTTGCAGAATTTACATTTAAATTCTCCTTAAAAAGTCCCTCAGCTCAGAAACATCAGACATGGCTCCCCTCCCTCAGGAGGCATATAAATCATCTCCCTGCAAATCAAATGTGTCTTTTCATAAAAACAATTGCTCCTGTCATTTATTACATAATAATCAGCACTAAAACCTGCTGAGGATGTAACTCAATGTATTCACGCTGTTTGTAATCACACAAAAACAAGGGTAACTTGGAAGACAGGATAGTGTTGGGAAAAACAAAAAGAGTCAAGTAAATAGCAGCAGATGCAAGGCTGGGAATGTTTAAATATCAAACTGGTCTCTTCATTACCCAAGAATGTAACAGGAGCTACCTGTGAGCAGTGTGAAAATGCAGACCTGGAGACAGTAATGGGAGATGTTTTTATATCTTGTGCCTTCCCCTGGATAAACCATTTCTAGCACCTGCCAGCAAGGAATATCCAGCCACCAAACCCAGGCACTGCCAGTGTGTGATATCCTAGCACAGACAGAGGGAACCATTTCCCTTCTTGATCTTTTTATTAATAAAGAAAAAAACCTAGATGACTGCTCCACCTCTCCCAGCGAGCCCTGACCCTGGTTCTCCAGGATATCCTAATCCCCTTGAAGCAGAAAAAGAGTGAGGGCAAGGTTAGATCCCAGATCTGCAGCAGTGTCATGTGCGCTGTCCAAAGGCACAGTCTGAGCTCCTGGCAGTGCCAATGAGCTGCCTCCTTTGCTTTGTGACCCTCCTGGAAGGACAAGGACAAGGTTCTGCTCCATCATCAGTTCCCACACTGCCACACCATCCCATTAACCTGCAGGGCTCATTCCTGCTCTGTGCATGGCTCCAGTCTGTTTGAGAGAACATTGGCACCAGGTCCCTGCAGGTCCCAGCAGCTCTGGCAGCACAGCAAGTCCTGCCAGGCCAACCCATGCACAGGACAGGATTCATCACAAGGAACTCAAGGAGGTACAGACAGAGGAGGTGACACCACGCCAGGGCTGGAAGATGTTCATCAGAGCATGAGTGACAGCAGGGACCTTCAGCCCAGAGCTCAACAAGCCCATGGATACCCATGGACGAGCAGCCACTCGTTCAAGAGCTGTTTTGCTTACCCCAGGTCAGGAGGAGCATTCCCAGCAGGGCAGGGAGGGATCCTGCCCCTGTGCCCAGCCCTGGTGAGGCACCTCTGGAGAGCTGTGTCCAGCTCTGGATCCTCAGCACAGCAGGGGACAGGGAGCTACTGGAGCGGGGCCAGCACAGGCTGTGAGGATGAGGAGGGCCTGGAGCATCTCGGTGCCCAGGAAAGGCTGAGGGAGCTGGGGCTGTTCAGGCTGGAGAGGAGCCCCAGCTGAGAGGGACCCTCAGCCCTGGGTGTCCCTGTGTGCAGGGAGGGCCAGAGCAGGGCCCAGGCCCTGCTCCAGGGCCCAGCAGTGGCACCAGAGGAACAGGCAGGGACTGAGCCCAGCAATTGCCCCTGCACAGGAGGCAGAACTTCTGCCCTGGGCAGTGCCCAACCTGAACAGGCTGCCCAGGGAGGGGCTGGAGTGTCCCTCAGCGGGGATATTCCAGAGCCACATGGACACAATCCTGTGCCCTGTGCTCTGGGATGGCCCTGCCTGAGCAGGGAGGTGGCACCAGTGACCCTCTGTGCTCCCTTCCAGCCTGGCCCAGCCTGGGATTCTGTGAAGGCAAAAAGCCCCCTCAGAGCTGCTTCCAAGGGATGTGAACCAAAAATAGGACATGTGCTGCTCTGTCCATCACCATCTTCTATCCAGATGTTTCCATAGTGTTTGGGTACAAATCCATAAGCATTTTATCACACTGGGTCACTGCATCCCCATTCCATTTCTCAGCAGGGGATCCCCATTGGTCCCAGCCAACATCCCTTTTGCTTGCAAAAGCACTCAGTGATTTATGGACTACAACCAGGACAAATTCCCAGAGTTTCTCAGCCTGCAGAACTTGGTCCAGTCACCCTGAGGGAAACAGAGCCCAAACCAAACGCCACAGGATCCTGTATCTGACTGGGGGGAATGAGAGGTCACAGACCATGGATCGTTTTCTTGTTCAGCACATCTGGTTAAAGGTATTTTGGAAAAAAAGCATCAGGTTGATACTAAAATCTCCAGGGATGGAAAATCTCCCCCTTCCCTCCTGAGCTGGACCCTCACCACTGGTTTGCAAGCCATTCCTCATTGGACATGGATTAGGAAGCAACAATGGCTGGAAGAAACATCTTTGAGCAGAGATTTCTCATCCTGATGATGAGGTAAGGATTCACATTCTCAGTGCCTCCAGGCACTTGTCTATCAAGCCAAGTCACCTCTCAATCACTCTCACAAACTCAAGGCTGTCAGAGGGTGAGGCTCCAAAACTCAAATGTGATATTTGGGAAGGCACAGTCTAAATTGCACATGCTCATGCCTTTCCTTTTCCTCTCCACTTAATTTCAGGGGTAGAGGACTCAGGACAAGAAACAAAGGAGCCTTTGGGAGTCCACCTGCTGTTTAAACTCCTCTCTCAAAAAGTGCTTCTCAGCACAGAAAATTTAACATGAATATCCTTTCAATGAGAGCAGCTCTAGAAAGGATCAAACTTGCTCCAAGTAGCAGTGGACAAAGGGGGGGGAGTTCATGTTGTTTGCTGCAGAGAGAAATGGCACAAAAGCTTTTTATCTTTTATTCCCGGGCTTCCTTTGAAAATGGATGTACCAACTAATCCCAGACATGTTGGATGAGGCTGTCAGATAATACTGGGAAAAATTTGTTATTAAATTCACTCTTTTACTGAGGCACGAGAACTCTGTGCAGAAGGTCAGTTAAAAGCATTAAATCCATTATCAGCATAACTGGGCCAGGCTGGATGGGGCCTGGAGCAGCCTGGGCTGGTGGAAGGGGTCCTTGTGGGTTGGAATGAGGTGAGTTTAAGGTCCCTTCCAACCCAAACCATTCCAGGATTCTGAGGTTCTATAACCACCTCTGGGACAAGAGGTTTGAAGCCCATCTTTGCCTAAGCCCTCCCATATTTAACAAGATCTGGGCTTTGGCTGGAGGAAAGAGAACAGCCAAGACAAATATCCTCTTTCCTTTCTTACCTAAAACCATGTCCTTCTCTCTTCCTTTCTCTCACTTCTCAGTCTGGAGTACCAAGCCAGAGGATTACTTTGCCACCCACCATCCATCCCTGCAGCCCCAGGCAGGGAGCAGGGAGAGAGCAGGACCAGCACATCCCAAACCCCAGGAGGGTGAGCACGGCAGGTACAACTTGTGTTCCTATAAAGCTCCCTTTGCCCACGTTTATTTTTCAGTGTGCCCAGCTCAAAGCTGCCCATGACTGCCCAGCAGTGACTCAGATGAGCTGCAGTGCCAGCTCCTCTCATCCTCAGACTGAATCAGCCTGGAAAGTTTGTCAGGCACTGGGAAAAACTGGGACTTGCATTTGTTTCCAGATAAATTAACATCACTTCCCAACACAATGCAGCAGCCTGGAAAAGGGCCCGTATTTCCGAGGAATTCACAGGTGCTTTAGCTGCCAGCACCTCCCATATTTCACAGTCCCACAGAACAAGTCCTGCGAGCTCAGGGCAGGGCAGCTGAGAGGGGAACAGAGAGGTGCTGCTGCCCAGGAGGACTCAGAGGTTTTGGGTACCAGAATCCCGTGGTCGATCAGTGCAGGGATTGTCCCCTGTGCTGGCACTGCTGAGACACCTCCAATCCGGAGTCAGTCC